CTTTTGTTTTACGTGTGGTTGTTAATAACTGTGAGTTTGTTGTCCTTTCTCTGTTCATGTTTCTTTAACTTCTTTTTCTTAGATAAGTCCCTTTAACATTTCATATAATAAGGGCTTGGTGATGATGAACTCCTTGAATTTGATCTTATCTGAGAAGCACCTTATCTGTCCTTCCATTCTAAATGAAAGTTTTGCTGGATAGAGCAATCTTGGTTGTAGGTCTTTGGATTTCATGACTTCGAATACCTCTTTCCAGCCCCTTCTTGCCTGTAAGGTCTCTTCTGAGAAATCCGCTGACAGTCTGATGGGGACTCCTTTGTAAGTGACTGTTCCCTTAGCTCTTGCTGCTTCTAGGATTCTCTCCTTCATTTTAATTTTGGCTAATGTAATTATGATGTGCCTTGCTGTGTTCCTTCTTGGGTCCAACTTCTTTGGGACTCTCTGAGCTTCCTGGATTTCCTGGAAGTCTATTGCCTTTGCCAGATTGGGGAAATTCTCCTTTATTATTTGTTCAAATAAGTTTTCCACTTGTGGCTGTGCCTTTCCCCCTTCTGGTACCCCTATAATTTGGATGTTGGAGCGTTTAAAGGTGTCCTGGAGGTTCCTAAGGCTCTCCTCATTTCTTTGAATTCTTGCTTCTTGACTGTTTTCTGTTTGGCCATTATTTGCTTTCTTCTGGTCCACTCCATTGATTTGAGTCCCAGTTTCCTTTTCATTGCTATTGGTGTCCTGTGCAATTCCATTTATTTCAGTTAGTTTCACCTTCATATATTTGTCTAATTTGTGGCTATAATCAACCAGTTCTGTGAGGATCCTGATGACCAGTGTTTTAAACTGTGCGTCTGAGAGTTTTGCTATTTCTTCATTGCTTAGATCTGTGGGCTCTGGAGCTTTGAGATCTTGCGCCATTTTTGGTCTGTTCTGGCCCTTTAAGTGTGAGAAGTGGTGCCTTGGACTCCCAGGTCGCTGGGTTGTGACGCTGTATGTGGGGGCGTGGTCAGAGCGGTGAAATGGCGACCCCTCTCTGCTGTTTCTCACAGCTGGGTGAGGATTAGCGTCATAGGTGGTTCACCTGGGCCGGGCCACTCAGAGTCGCTGGGTTATGACACTGTATGTGGAGGTGGGGTCAGGAGGTGGGGTCAGAGCGGGGAAATGGCGTTGCCCTCCACTGCCGCTTGCCTCGGGGACCCGCCGGCCCCGGTCCAACCGCCCACTCCCTCTCCTGTCCGCCCTCGCACAAATGCGAGACCACAGTCAACACGCAGCACTGCTCCCCCGTCGTCTCCCCCGCAGTCGCTCGCCTGGTGGCTCGCTCAGTCGCTCACTAGGTCCAACCCTGCGCCTGGATTCCGCGTGTCTGGATTCCGCGCCTGAGTCCGGCCGACCAAGACCTCCTGTGCAATCCCGCTTCACCAGCCGCTGGTTTCGCCCCTTACCGGTCAGGCTGAAGAATTTGTTGTTAACGGACTTCCGAAAAGTTCAGTTTTCCGTGTTCTGGCTGTGTTTTCGGTTGCTAATATTTAGTTGTCTCTAAACTTGGTTGTGTGAGAAGGCACGGCATATCCACCTATGCCTCCATCTTGGCGGAAGTCTCTAGAGATTTCTTGAAAGAAAATTTCTGCATGGCATTTGATGAGTTCCCCCTTTTTTAATAGCTTATTATTGTATTTTTTCCATGACCATTTATCCCCCTTATATTCTCTTCTACCTCCACCCACCACCCTCTCCTCTCACCTCACAATGATAAGTTTTTGAAAAGTTTCAAGTTTAGGAGAATTTTCTTGTATTGTTATTATCTCTACCATTTCTTACAGAATTTGGTAAGAAATGAAGTCTTCTGGAATTATTTTCATGTTACATACCTTTTGTCTTATATTGATTGATATCTTTTTGCATTCTGGGAGATATCCTGCAGTTGGTATTTTATAATTCATATACTGTATTTTTCATCAATGTTTATCCTTCTAGACTTGAAAAGAGATATTCTTTTAGATTTGAGGGGATTTCCAAATCTATTTTTGGAAGAAGAGGCTAAATTTTAGTTTTCTTATTTTCAAGCTTTTTCTTGTTTTTACTCTTTGTTGTTTGTAGCCATATGTTCATTTGTATTAAGTGATGTTCTTCAAAACTTGCTGACAGCAAGAAGATTTTAAAATAATTTCTTTTCTTTTTTCCTACATTATTCATTAGTGGGGTGGGAGAGGATAATTTAGTCATCTTGGCTTCCTACTTTTAAACAGCTACTTTTTGTTAAAAAGTAGTCAGGTTTTTCTTGGCATCCAGAATACTTCTTTTTTCCCTTTTAAAACTGAAGAAATATATCAGTATGCATCTTTCTTAGTTTGGGGTTTTTATTTGAGGTAGTTGTAACTACTGTCAATTTTTAATCTCTAGATTTTGTTTTTGTCATTTTCTTGAATAGCAAGTATATTTTTTCCTTCTACTGAAGTTACAGAAGCTCATTGTTTAAAAAACTGTATTTTGCCATGTTTAATGTGCATTTTTTCGCCTAGATTTTTGAGGATGTGCATTGGACATTGTTGTAATGATTACAGACCATAATAATGGGCATGACAATCCTGTGTATAATGTGCAGGAAAACATGAGTGCACATTATACATGGCAAAATACAGTATATGAAGGAACTGTTTGTTGAAACATTAGTAAGGGGGTGCCATATACTAAAGATTGAATCTCTCCATGCCCCCTGCCTCCCTCTGAGGGAGTTTTATAGAACCCAAATTGAAAAACTCACTTTGTTGCCATTTCATAAGAACTATTTTGTTGTTTGATTAGTATCTGGGGGAGTGGTTCCTGAAACCACCATTTCATGTGTGAAATGAGGTCAATTCAGGGATGAAATTGACCTATAAGCTTCTTTTTTCTTAATATTTCTGTGGTAAAATTTTTTCATTTTCATCTAATTAATACTTTTCCTTTTTGTGTGTGTCATTGTAATTATTTGAATATCCCTAGAGACTTAATGCCACTTGAAGCAATTTGGCTTCAAGCAGTTTTTTTAAATTACCTTTTCTCCACCTGATACTGTAGAATGCATTTCCTGGGGTTTGGGGCAGGGGAATCTTGCTGATGCATTAGTGAGGCACTATTTCAGGTCCAACCCTTGTGGCATTCTGTAGTGGATCATTGATTATCAGGCCAGTTAGAGCAGACTAAATTTTTTTTTATTGTGGCCGTGTTACATTATAGTAGAAAATTTAATGTTGTGAACATAAAACAACATAATAAATAGGCCACCTATTATCCTACCACCCTAGGAATAACTACTGTTTAGTGTTATGTTTTTTCAGGTTTTTTCCTGTTGTTTCGCATCTTCACCAGCATTTGCTAGTGTCATTGTTTTGGATTTTAGCTATTCCAGAAGGAATTTTGGATTCCCTAATGACATAGATGTTGATTATCTCTCCATATGCTTATTTCCATCTGTAGGTCTTCCTTGGTGAGGTGTCTATTTAGAGGTTTTGCCCATTTGTTAATTGTTTTGTTTTTCTTGTTGAGTTTTAAGTGTTCTTTGTATATTTTGGATGTCCATTCTTTATCAATTATGTGTTTTTGCGAAGATTTTCTTCCAGTCTTGCCTTTTCAGTCTCTTAACAGTGCTTTTGCAGAGCAGAAGTTTTTTATTTTTATGAAGTCAGCTTATCAGTGTGTTTTCTTTCATGGGTTGTGCATATGATGTTGTATCTAAAAAGTTATTGCCAAACCTGAGGTCACCTGGATTTTCTCCTATTTATCTTCTAAGAGTGTTATAGTTTTTGCATTTTATAGTGGGTGTGTGATATATTTTAATTTTTGTGACAGGTGTAAGGTCTGTGTCTAGATTCATTTTTTCCTTGTAAGTGTCCAGTTGTCCCAGTACTATTTATTGAAAGGACTATTCTTTCTCCATTGAAATTGCCTTTGTAGTGAAAAATTAGCATATAACTACAATCAGCCTTCTGCACAGATGGATTCCCAACCTTGGAGTTGACCCTTGAACAACATGGGTTTGAACTCTGCATGGGCCAGTTGAAAATACCTACATATAAGTGGACCTGTGCAGTTTAAACCTGTGTTCGAGGATCAACTGTGTTTTCTGGAAAGAACCTCAAGGGCTTCTTTTGCTCATTTGTAATTGGTGTGCAACTCTTTGGCCATCTTAAGCTAGTTCTGCAGGTATTCTATAGAGAAACTTTTTCCTAACCTACATAAAATTACATACTTTTAAAATAAAAATGCTTGTGAAAAATAATGAAACTTTTGTTACTCAAAAACATTTTAGTATGTAGATTTACCTCTGGCCAGTGTAGCTCAGTTGGTTGGAGCATCATTCTGTAAACCTAATGGTTTCAGGTTCAATTCCTGGTCAGGGAACTTGCCTAGGTTGCGGCTTTGGACCCCAGTCAGGGTGTGTTCGGGAGGCAACCCATAGATGTTTCTCTGACGTCAGTGTTTCACTCTCTTGTTCTCCCTTGATCTGTGGAATCAATGGATATGTCCTCAGGTGAGCATTAAGAAAAAAATAAAAAAGAAAGAAATGTGGATTTAGCAAGTATATTATATAAAGTAATCTGAGTCCCACTAATATAAAATGTAGATCATTTGTGAGTTAGCAGTGCTTATGTTGAAACAATGTGTAACAAGCACCATAGAGAATACAAAAGAGAGAAGGTCATGGCTATCTTTAACAGAAAGTGTACATTATAGGTGAGAATGTACATCATCACAGAAGAGTAAAATATGAGTCTGTGTTTACAAGGGTCTGTATAGGCAAAAACATAGTAATACTAATAAAATTTGGTTTTAATAATGATTTCATTAGTTTGGTGATTAGAAGGGAGTTGGAAGAATTTACCTGAAATACTTTAATTCACTGTTTTCTTATTTTAGGATTACATTTTAAAGGCAATTTCTGTTATTCAGTTGTCATTTGGAAGATTAAATCCATTTCAAGAGGACTTGAAGCTGGTCCTCACCTTGAGGAAGCAGTGGCTTGTTTTCAAGAAGCCACTTCTGATCTCAGGATCTATCCAGCATGCCTAATCAAGGAGAAGACTGCTATTTTTTTTTCTATTCTACATGTACCAAAGTAAGGATTGCAATCTCTAAAATCAGTTCTTTCTTTGATTTCCCTAATAAAACTGGATAAGGTATTTTCAGTATACTAAGTTGTTTTTATGTTTGTTTTTCTGAACACTTTGTTATTTGCTGTCAGTTTTATTTAATTGTTGTTCAATGCTGTCAGTTTTTTAGTAAAGGATATCATTCCTAGGTGAATTCATTCTTCATCATACTGTTTCTTCATTTTATGTCCTTCATGTTCTACAAAAGCGAAAAGGTCTCTTATGTATAATTAATCTCTTCAGGGTGCCTTTGGAATTAGGAGCATTTTGGCTTTTGATTTTATTTGCCTTGTATTAAATGAATGGGTATATTGTATTGCACTTCTAGAAACTGCCATGCATTGAATTTGACTACAGATTTCCTCTTGAATACTAAAACCATCTTCTAAATTCTAAAATCATCTTCTAAATATGCTTTTGTAGCTTTGCTTTTTTTTTTTGGCCAAAACTTCCTGGTTTTCTGCTTCATCGCAATGTAGTCCATTTCGATTAATCTGTTTTCTGTTGTTCCTTTATGACTAAATCTGTAAATATCCATGTCGTTACAAAAACTTTCCTTAAATCACCTTGGTACTATGTTTAAAATGAACAGTTTTGACCAAAACCCTAATCTTACATACTAGTTTGCACAAAAGTAGCATTTTGTTTCAGATACTGTTTGTAAAGTATATAGTGAAACATAGAATTATGCTTAAATCCTTATCTGTTTACTTCCTTTTCTGATACTTCATTAAAAGCTAATCACACAAGTTGGGATGTCTAAAATGGTGAACTATAAAATGTATTTTTAAAGAGTGTCTAGTACTCCCACTTGTCTTTTTCAACTTGTGTCATCTTTCAGCTTGTGCCATTCATGTTGTCAGATAAGATGAAGGGTAGTGACAGGAAATAGGTTGTAGAAAATTATAACTTTGTTGACCTCTGATTTTTATTGTTATTTTGTCTCAGTTGTCTTCTGTCTTGCCTTTCTCTCCTTACTCCTTTGTCTAATTGGTGCCAGGAAACTATTATAATGAACATTTTCCTTGGGATCTATTTCAGTATCACAGCTCTTTTTTGTATTACTCTTTGTTTACAGGGTGACAGCTGTCCATTCCGTCACTGTGAAGCTGCACTAGGAAATGAAACTGTTTGCACATTATGGCAAGAAGGGCGCTGTTTTCGACAAGTGTGCAGGTTCAGGCACATGGAGATTGATGTAAGTTTTGAATTTGTATTATAACAGGTAGTCTAGTGCATTGATGGGCCATTTAAAAATATAAGGGGAAAATGACATTTTATATTACTTGTGAGTTAAATTTCTAGGAATGATCCAGTGAAATTTCTGTCATTATTACAATGCTCACTTAATATCTACATGTTATGGAGTATGAATTGGTATTGTTTTTCTGGAAGGCAGTTTGGTACTACATCTAATCCAGCTCTTCTCATCCTGCTTGGTCTTGGATGCTCATTCTGGGCAGACTGTCTGAGTATAGTATACCCTCCTCAACCTGCACAGAAGTGCATGAGTCCTGCACAGGAGTCTTGCTCACCTTGCTCACCCTGTACTTTTCCTTCCCTAGCCTTGGAATCAGCCATATCTGTAAGAAGCTCTGGTTACTTTTAGTGAAAAATAGAATATAGAAATCAAATTTGAGCTGCTCTTTGAGTGTTACTGTTTCCAGGCCTACAATGGACAGAAGAAGGAATTTGTAAATCATTATTTATTACTGTATACTTACGTATTGAAAATCGTGAGTTCATCTCTGGCTGGTGTGGCTTAGTTGGTTGGAGTGTCATTCTGTAACTGAAGGGTCGCAGGTTCAATCCCCAATTGGTGCAGATACCTAGGTTGTGGTTTCAATCTCTAGTGTGGGGTTGTATAGGAGGCAACTGATCGATGTTTCTCACATTGATGTTTCTCTCTCTCTCTTCTCCTCTTTCTAAAAGCAATGAAGAAATGTCCTCAGGTGAGGATTAAAAAAAAAAGTTGTGAGTTCACATAGATGCCTCCAATTCACCAACACTACAGGCACCATCTTTTTTATACTTGTAACTTTCCTGTCTAAGTGAGACACTTGGTTTCCATTGTCCTTAATGTTACTTATTCAATCAGTTGCCTAGTTATGTAAATCAGTGTTATATCCCAGCCTCTTCCTTCCTTTCAGGTTCTGACATCACACATGAGGCTGCTTTTCTACAGGGACATCTTTCTCACCTTGTTTTGGTGCTATCACCCTGTACCAGGCCTTGCCCCATGTCACTGTGAGGACTCCTTCCTCATCCTGCTTGGACCTCAACATCCTACTCAGGAGCCCTCTGCCCCCTATGGATGCCATTTTCACACCTTTGGGTTCTGATACTCTGTGTTGGGCAGCCCTCCCATGTGAGGCGCTCATTCTTCTCACCTTGTTCAATCTCTGACTCTGTACCAGGTTCCCACTCAGGAAGATCCAGCCCTTCTCATCCTACTTGGTCTTGGATGCTCATTCTGGGCAGACCATCCATGAGTATACCCTCCTCAATCTACATTAGGATTCCTTCTGCACAGAAATCTTGCTCACCTTGCTCACCCTGCTCAGACTCCAACGCTCTGCCAGGCCATCCTCCTATGGAAGAATGTCATACTAACTCCTCAGGGTCTGACACACTGTGCCAGTCCCACCTTGTCAAGTAGATCCTTCCCTTTCCCAGCATGAATGCCTACCTCTCTCAGCCTCACCTGATGACTTTGGACTGAATTGTGGAAGAGGGTGGGGTAGGAAGAAAGAGACTAAATACACAGCTTGTGTGCCTGGGCTCATATAGCTACTCTGGTTCCAGATTTATAGTCTCTTAACTGTCCTCTCTGCTTTTTGTCTTCTAAATAGCAGAGAATTCACTAAAATTCACAGAAAGGTATATATATATACTCTGTAACTTTTGAAAAGTCATGTTTTAACATTGCTGGCAAAGTATAAATTGGCACAACTCCTTGGAAAAGTGTGTTGGGTCTCTAACCAACTGGGCTACCTGGCCAGGGCTTGTGTCAGGGTCTCGAAGATCTATATTTAGAGATTCTCTAGAAGAACTCATGGGTATCAGCATATAGAGTTGTTTTCCTGGCTAAGATTTATTACAGTGATATGGTAAGGATACACTGTCTGATCATAAGAGAAAAGGACAGGCAGAGTCTGGAGGAATCCATATTTGGTTTATTATCTCTTCCTCTTATGCGAGGTCACACAGAGCAGACACTTCCCCCAGCCATGAAAATGCATCAGTATGTTGTGATGTTTCTATGCAGGGAAGCCCATGAGAGACCTGAAGTTTTTATTAGTGTGGGTTGCATAGGCACTTTCTTCCTGACACATACCAAGCTCCAGACTCCCAGAGGGATAACAGGTGTCCAGCATAAGCCTGTTTGTATTTGTACAAATCTAGGCACATTCTGAGTGCCAAGTTTCCACATGCCAGCCAAGGGCCAATCTTGCAAGCCAGTTGTGTAATGATAGCAGTTTTAAGGCTGCTCTATCAGCTCTTTTCTGCACAGAGGCTTACTTAGTTGCATCTTACAAAGGTATTATTTTATACCTGTGCCTTCTGTATGCAAAGTGAGATAGAAGCAGAATGACTCTTTGTAGCATAGTTTGTAATAGGAAAATGCATGAAATAATGAAACCTTCATTTTTTTTTAAGATTTTATTTTTAGTGAGAAGGAAGGGAGTGAGAAAGAGAAGGAAAGAAACATCAAATGTGTGGTTGCCTTTCATGTGGCCCCCATTGGAGACCTGGCCCGCAACCCAGGCGTGTGCCCTGACTAGGAATTGAACTGGTGACCTCTTGGTTTGCAGCCCGTGCTCAATCCACTGACCTACACTAGCCAGGACCCTTCATTTAAAATAAATTTTACCACATCCAGTGATCCAGTGGTATGCTGGGCAGCTGTTTTTTGTTTGTTTGTTTGTTTTTTAGAGAGAGAGAGGGAAAGAAACGTCAATGTGTGGTTGCCTCTCATGTGTTCCCCAGTGGGGACCTGGCCCGCAACCCACGCATGTGCCCTGACTGGGAATCGAACTTGCAACTTCTTGGTTAACAGCCTGCACCCAGTCCACTGAGCTACACCAGCCAGGGCTTGTTCATAAAAAGTTTTAAAAGGAAAATTACTTAAATTGATATGGAAGGGTCATGGTATATAATCAGTACAGTAGCAAGGGCCAGCAATTCCACTTCTGAGAATATATCCTAAGATCCTGAAAAACCAATTCAAATGAGTATATGCACTCCTATGTTCATAACAGCGCTATTTATAGTAGGCAAGATTTGGAAACGGCCTAGTGCACATCAGTAGATGGGTGGATTAAAAAAAACTGTGATACATCTACACAATGGGATGCTACATGGCAGTAAAAAAGGAGGAATTCTTACTTTTGGTGGCATTGGATGGAACTGGAAACTATTATGCTAAGTGAAATAAGCCAATGGGTAAAAGACATACCATATGATCTCACTTACAGGTAGAATCTAATGAACAAAATAAACTAACAAGCAAAAATAGAATTAGAAACAAGAAACAGACTGACAGCTATAAGAGGGGTGTGTATAGATGGGGACTGGCTAAAAGAAGGTAAAGGGATTATCGTATTCTTCTGTGTATAACGCACACATTTTTGCCCAGAATTTTGAGGGAGAAAAATAAGGGTGCATATTATATAGAGGTAGTATAAAGGATATGCATTATACATGAGCAGCACCAAGATGTGGGTGTGTGTTATACATAGTAGCGCATTATACATGCCAAAATACTGTAGTCAAAGAACATGTATTCATGACCCAGTGACAAAATTGGGACTCCAGGAGCAGTAAGGAGCCTTTTACTGCACACTCCTTTTTATGAAGTCAATTTTTGTTATTTCTCAGCTCCATGTTTGTAAATTTATGTACTTGCTAAAATTTATTTTAAGTCCCAAATCAATACTTGCTTTCATGGTTATTCACAGACATGTGCAGATCACTGAAAAATTTGAGTCTCCTAAGTCACCTAATGTACACGCTTCCAACTGGGATCAAACAAGGCAATTCTCTGCCTTTTGTTTCAGTGCTCATAGTGTACACAGGTGTCCTTTTTGTGGCCTATTTCAATGCCTTTTTGGGAAGGCATTTTTTGTGCTTTTTTTTATTGGTGATTTTCCTGTTTGAAATGGCCCCCAAGGGTAGTGCTGTAGTCCTGTGCAATGTTTCTATGCACAGGAAAGAAAATACATGTAATAAAGTATCATTCAAGTATGAGTTACAGTGCTGTTGGCCTTCAGTTCATTCAATATTAATGAATAAATGGTATATTGTGTATTAAGTAAGTTGTCTTCAGACACAAACACACCTAAAACAAGAGATTGTATGTTGATCAGTTGGTAAAAATATTGTGACCAGAAACTTATGCCTTTGGCTTATGTGCTGTATTACCTATTTAAAATTTAAAGAAATAGTTATGTTGGAGATTGTTACTATGGAGGATGTATTGCTGAATGAAAAATGTACAAAATTGTATGAAATACCTTTTTAAAACATACATCATTTACATTTACATTTTTTAAGTAAAAAAATTCTATACCAAACTAAGTGATTCTTTTGGGGTAATAGCATTACAGGCATTTATTTTTGTTTTTCCAAGCCATCTTTATTCTTTGTGTATTACTTTTCATTTAGAAGCAAAATCCAGTAAGTGTATTAAACAGGTCAGATATATTAAACAGGTTAGATTATTGACTCTTGTATATGGAGGACACTGAAAAAGTCACCCAGTCCTGGCTGGTGTGGCTCAGAGGACTGAGCGCTGGCCTGTGAACCAAGGCTTCACCAGTTTGATTACTAGTCAGGACACATGCTTGGGTTGCGGGCCATGTCCCTTGGTGTAGGGTGCGTAAGAGGCAACCACACATTGATGTTTCTTTCCCTTTCTTTCTCCCTTCCCCTCTTTCTAAAAATAAATAAAATCTTTAAAAATAATAAATAAAATGAAAAGAAGTCATAGTAATTTGAATTTTTTTTTCCCAGAAAGGAGTAAAAACTTAAACACAGACTTAGGAACAAGGAAGATTGGCATTAGGTTCTACGTTGAGGAAGGAGGAATTGAGAAATTACTGTTATTCCTATCTTTTAAAAAATGATAGCTATTATACCTACCTTTTGGGTGTGTCAGGAAACTAGTAAGTTTTATTCAAAGGTAAAGATACTTACTTTTTTTACAATTTGATTTGTTTTTTTCCTGGAAAATGACTCTAGTAGCGCTTACCTGTCTTTAACTTTATTTGAAACAGTTTTGTCAGATTGTATTGTGACAGCTGTGAATATCAGTGTACTTTTTTTTTTAAAGTAAAATTGGTGAATTTTTGTGTAGCTATTTTAATATTGAAAAGGACAGAAAATAAGCAACATTTTTGGCATATTACGCTTTATTATTTCAAGAAATGTAAAAATGTAACCAAAATGGAAAAAAAAGTTTATGCAGCGTACAGAGAGTTTGTGGTGTGGTGGATTGAATGTGTCAGAGTGGTTTGCGAAGTTTCATACTGGAGATTTCTCACAGGACGGCACTCCATGGTTGGGTAAACCAGTTGAGGTTGATAGTGATCAAATTGACACATTAATTGAGAACAATGTTAACCATGCGGGATATAGCCTATACACTCAAACTGTCTAAATAAAGTTATTGGTGAAGATGAGAAATGTGTCTTATTTTACAGAAAAAAGACATACAGACTTTTCGGCTAACCCAGTACTTTACATTTCAGTTAGAAGTATATGGGACTGCATGATTCTTTTACATTCCTACTAACACAGTGTTATCAAATTACTGGTCTCTCAGAGTAGTAGACTTTGATCTTTGCCCTTTTTTATACATTTAAGGCCTTTTTGTAATGGCTGTTGTGTGTCTGTTTCTTTCCTCCATATTTAAAAATTTCGGAAGTAATGCTGCTATTCTTTTCTTGAATTTTAAACCTTAGGTTGCTTGTTATGATGAGAGATCCATCATAATGCAAGTTATTAATCAGAGGTTAGTTAATTTTCAGAAATGCTTATCAGGTCCTTTTTTCCTTTATTGAACTATTTGTAAGTAGATATAGAAATATGCTTGAAGAATTTCCACAAAGGGAATGATATACTTACTTGTACCTAGATTGAGAAGTAGAACATTTCCAACACTGTCTCTTCCCCCTTTGTTGTTGTTAGCTGTACCAGCCAAACTAATTGCCATCTTGATGACTATGCCCTTTTTCCATAAAGAAATTTTGCTCATTTTGATCTTTGCACAAATGGCAACATACAGTCTGTGCTCTCTTGTGCTGGCTTCTTTTACTCTGCACTTGTTAAGTGTAGCAAAATCTGGGATAGTACACTATTACATGAAGATACTACAATATATTTTTCCATTCTAGTGTTGATGTACATTTAGGTTGGTTCCACTTTGGAGTAATTACAAATAGTATTGCTTTGAACATCTTTATACACATCTAATTTATATACTAGAACTCATGTACATATTTCTGTTGGACATAGGTCGCCATGATCTATCAGTTTATTCTAAATATGCAGGTATTCTTTTTTTCTCATTCCCCTTCAGAAGAGTGAGGTAGCTTGAGAAGGAAAAAGACCATCCTCAGTGTGTTGCCTGTGCCTTGCTTTGAGAAGTCACAATGGGAAAAATTTTCTCCAAGCCTTGAATGTTCAGCTTCAAATAATAACTGTACTTTAGTCCTTTCTGTGTGCTAAGTTCTTTGTGTACATTTAATGTTCCACTTAATCCAAGAAATCAAAAGATAGCCACGGTTATTCCCATTTTATAGCTGAGGAAAGTGAGACTTAGAGACAAAACATTGTCCAACATTACATGTCCAATAAGTAGCATAATAAAGGTTCAAACCTTTTTGGCTTAGATTCTATAATCTTAACTAATAGAGTATCCTGCATCTCAGAATTAAGTGTAGATTTCCGGGTGCAGATCAGAGTTCCAGGATGAGAGCAAGGAGGGAAGAATATTTAAAAAAAAAAAAAAACAAAAAACCACTCTTCTCTACTTCCTTTATCTCTTGGTCATCCTCTATGGAGTTTGTGGCTTTCAGCAACCCCTCTTCCTCCTGCTCAAAATCACCTCGAAGTGTTCAGACTTTTTAATACTGTATGTGAACTCTTTCAAGAAAACAAATGACCGAATTAATACAGGTCACACTTCATTTTTTATTTGAAAACAATACATTTTTCCTTCTTACAGAAAAAACGCAGTGAGATTCCTTGTTACTGGGAAAATCAACCAATGGGATGTCAAAAACTAAACTGCGCTTTCCATCACAACAGAGGACGTTATGTTGATGGCCTTTTTCTACCTCCAAGCAAAAGTGAGATGTTTTTAATTTTAAAAGAATAGTTACTATGTAATGGAACACATATGCACACTGTACAAAGTACTTTATATACTTTTACTGTTGTGAGAAATGGTACTCTTTACACTTTACATATGAACTGAACTTTATTAAGGTTAAGTGATTTGTACAGTTACAAACCAGTAAGTGGCAGGGTCATAATCAGAACTGTTGCCAAAAGCCATGTTGCCTCAAGTGTTTAGATTACTGTAGCTTACTTCATTCCCATTTTCTTATCAGATCCATAGAGGTTTTTGAAAGAAACTTGATTCTCTGGGCCAGGGTTTGGCAAATCATGTTCCTCCAGCTGTTTATAAAATAAAATTTTATTGGAAAGGAACCATGCCCATGCATTTTTGTATTTTCTGTGGCCAAATTTTGTGCTCCTTTTGCAAAGTTGAGTACTTGAGACAGATCTACAAAGCCTGTAATGTTTGCTATCCAGCTTTTTACAGACAAAGTTTGCTAACCCTGATGTAGACTAATCTAAAATAAAACTTATGCTCTACCAAAAGCTAGTATGTATTTCCAAAGTTCCTTTTAAAGTATTTTGCTAGTGGAATGATTAGCCATTTAAAAGCCATGTCAGCTATGTGATTAAAATTTGATGGCTACATGTTTTCACCTTTATGAGAGGGGGAAAAGTAGATTCACTCCCTTCTGGTTTGGCTCAAAAATGTTACCTGCTATCTCTTAAAAGCTACTTATTGCTGAGGAAAAAGCCTGTGATTATAACATTAAAATTACATGTTTATTATTTACAGTCACTATGCATCTAGCCTTCTATTTATTATAGGTTTTGAGTGCCCACTTTGTGTTTATATACAGTAAAGCAATAACTAAAAAACCACATTTTCTCTCCTTGGAAGTTGAGAACCTAATTGGGGAAAATGGGGGAGTTAAGTAAAAAAACATAAGTGCTTATAAGGAAAATGCACCAGCTTATGATAGGTGGTCAAGGATTTTTGTTGAATTGGGAGTATACCTTTTGTTTTTAATTTATGACTAACTTTGTATTTCTAGCTATGTTGCCCACTGTGCCTGAGTCACTAGAGGAGGAAGTGAAGGCTTGCCAGCTCACAGTTCAGCAGAACAAATTGTCTGTCCAGTCTAATCCCTCTCCTCAGATGCGAAGTGTAATGAAAGTAGAAAGTTCAGAAAATGTTCCTAGCCCTACACATCCACCAGTCGTAATCAATGCTGCAGATGATGATGAGGATGATGATGGTAAGTTTTAGTTCTTCAAGGCAAAGAAATATTCGGGGGCACTTTGTGAATTAGAATGAGGATTAAAACTCTAGGCCTGTTTTTAATTGTACATTTGCCTTAAATGTTATTATAGATCAGTTCTCTGAGGAAGGTGATGAAACCAAAACACCTACCCTGCAACCAGCTGCTGAAGTCCATAATGGATTACGAGTGGCATCTGCCCGGAAACCTGGGGTCAATTTAAAACAAGGTAAGAAGTGTCTGTATTGATGCTGGCTCCCACTCAAAAATTTTAACAGCACTATTGAATGTGTCCAAACTGTTTTAAATACCTTTGAAATTTAGTTGATGATCACCACCACTTCCCCTTTCTCTGCCCGTTACATATGTAATACTTTCTCGTATTTATTTAGAAAATATCTAGACACCTGCTATATACAAATAAAATGCAGAGGTGAAAAAAGGTGCTTAGTTCCTCATGTGATTTCTCTTTGCATTTTTCAGGTGAATGTTTGAATTTTGGAATAAAAACTCTTGAGGAAATTAAGTCAAAGAAAATGAAGGAAAAATCCAAGAAGCAAGGTGGTAAGTCATCAGTTTTGACCAGATCATTGAACGTTGCTAGAGAAGAATAATTAGGACCCTTCCAATAATAAGGACCCTTGGCAACAGCCAAAATGAGTTTACCTACTCTTCCTGGTTTGAAGTAAAAGACTTACTTAGATCATGATTTCATTGTAACTGTTTCGGTCTCTGACTATTCACAGCTAAGCACTGCAGTTAAGAAACCCAGGAGAGCCTTGGCCGGCTAGCTTGGTTTGTTAGAGCCTTGTCTAGTATGGCACGGTTGCAGGTTCCTTCCCTAGTCAGGGCATATACAAGAAACAACCAATGAATGTGTAAATAAGTGGAACAACAAGCTATGTTTCTCGGTCTCCCTTCCTCTCTCTTTCTAAAATCAATAAATAAAATGGTAAAAAGAACTCAGAAGAACTCATTTATCTTGAGAAATAAAGTATATTTAAAAAGGAAATACTTTATTTTGTAGTAGATGAATTCATCTCAAGAGCTGCCAGGACTTTCTTCTGGAGCTTGCCTCAGCCTGGTTGATTCATATATTTCCAACCCTAAAAAGTATAGTATGAAAGTAATAACATTTAGAACAAATGGTTGGTTCTAAATACCCTCTTGATAAAGCTTTTTCTATCAGAACATTGGAGTTATGTTTTGCATGTAATTGAGTACAGATTAAAAAGATTGAATTGGCACACCTGATAGCTGGTGTGCTTCTGAGGTAAACTTTAGAATAATGTTAGCCTTGTTGGTAAATAAAAGCAGGTTGAGTGCCTAAGTTACTCAAAACAATTTTATGTTTTATTCACATATTGAGCCCAAGGAAGATAAGAAGTAGGGAGTCTCTCCCCTTTTCCCACCACCCCGTATCACTATAGGCAAACAGAAAGAGAGAGACTGATTGGTTGTAGTCGTCCAGTGGTTTATATTGGACTTACCTGGTCACAAATCAAATTTCTTGACTTGTGATAGCTTTATTTTCCATAAATTATTTGCTCTTTTTTGACCTGTTTTATTCAGAAGGTTCTTCAGGAACTTCCAGTCTTTTACTCCAACCTCAGACCATTCCAGGTCCTGAAAAAGAGAATGTGCGGACCGTGGTGAGGACAGTAACTCTGTCCAACAAACAAGGTGAGGTATAGGCAGGCTGTAGAGTTGTCTGTCAGGCTACATCTTATAAATTATAGCTGGGAGAGCAAAATTCCTGTGTGTATTTTACCTTTGATGAAATTGCAGCAAGAGTTCAGTATGTTCATTGGATTGAAGGATGAAAAGAAAAGTTAGTACATTTGACTCTGCTTTTTAATAGGTTGTCATTAAAAAGGTTGATGCAGTTCTGACATTTATGCATATTTAATTTTTATGTTTACTGTTTATTTGTATCCACTCAATAAATTTATTGACTTCTCATGGGTAAATAATTATATTATTTAAGTTATAGAAACATTTTCCTTAATAGTTTTAAATCTAGTAGGGAATATAACACAAGTAATTCTAATATGCAGATACATTTAAATGTTTGTGCCATTCAAACAACAATCAGAAGAGCTCATTTCTGGAGTGAACAAAGAAGGTTATAGGAGAGTTAACTAGCAATAGGGTATGATTTTTCTTTTTTAAAATTAAAAAAGGAAGTGCACAAGCAGAAGTATGGTTGAGTTTATAGTCAATGAGTTTATATGGTTAGGAAACAACTTCTCTTTGTATACTTGGTTACTATTAATAATTAAGACTGTACTAATATTTCTCTTTGGGCTGTGCATTTGGCTACTTAAATTATTTAATACAGTTTTTAAATGTGATAGTCTTTATTAAGATAGATCTGATTTTCAGTAGACTAGGTAACTTATATTAGTATCAGCACATACTTTGTACCCACTAGTAGTTACTGAATACAGAAAAATTGTCTAATGGTAGAGAAATTCTTGTTTTGTCATTTCAGGAGAACAACCCTTGGTAAGATTGAGTCTCACGGAGAGACTAGGGAAAAGAAAAATTTCAGTAGGTGAGGTACATTTTGTGTGTATCTTTTGTTTTCTGTTTGTTTGTTCATTAATATGATACCTTCATATTATTTTCCTCATATAAGTGCTTTTCTGTAAGTGCCTTGTCATATTGATTTGCGGTCCACCTGTATGAAGTTTTGGCTGAAAGCACATTTAAAAGTTTTTCATGTTTTTCATGTGTGCGTTACACCTTTTATTGAAGTCATACAAATATATATATAGTATTACAAATTGATTATGGCCAACTTTTTAGAAGGTACTAGGTTTAAAAAACAATAAAGAATATCTCTTTCTATGGACAAAATGAAATTTGAGCTTTTGGAGGGAAAAAGGTATCCAGTTAATATAAATTCAGTCTCTGAAGTTATTAATGCTAATTTATATTTACCGGGAGTATTTACTGTATTACATAATTGTTGTGTACCTACTCTAGTGTGTCTGTCTAAAGAATTATTTTTGAACCCTGGTGGGTGTGGCTCATCCCACAAACCAAAAAGTCACGGGTTCGATTCCTAGACAGGGCGCATGCCTGTATTACAGGTTCTGGGAGTATGCAAGAAGCAACTGATTGATGTTTCTCACATCAGTGTTTCTCCTCCCTTCTTTCTCCTTTCTCTGGAATCAATAAAAGAGAAAAAAAGAAAAATAACCTAGCAAAAGATAACCATTTACTTTAAAAAAGAAAAGGAAAAGCCCTGGCTGGTGCGGCTCAGTGGATTGAATGCTGGCCTGCAAACTGAAAAGTTGCTGGTTTGTTTCCTAGTCAGGGCACATGCCTGGGTTGTGGGCCAGGTGGAGTGCGATAAGCATCGATGTTTCCCTCTTCTTCTCCCTTCCCCTTTCTCAAAAATACATAAATAAATTTTAAAAAATTATTTTGAAAGTCTTTTTTGACTTCAGAGGATCATTCATACTCTTAAAATATACTTGCAAATATGAAATCCTGTCTGTTTTGGGTTTTCTTAGATACCATTCTCGTTCCTCAAGAAATTTTAGGTAAAAAATACAGAAATAAGATATTTTAATATCAGCATATATATAAACTTTGCGAATTTTGGTTTCATAATTATAAATTAAATTTTAAATTAGAGTCAAGTTTTTAATGGGACCCTACAACGATTATTATACCTTCAGTCAAGCAATAAAAAAAACCAATTAACTTGTGATGTCTAAACAACTTGTATTGAACAATGTAATATAATAAAGCAGGAGTTAGGAAACTTTGTTCAGATCTTCATTCCATCACTAATTGGTGCCTTGGTTAAGATACAGAAGCTTTTATAACCTTAGATTTCTCGTCTGGAATTGAAGAGGGGCTCTGTGGCCTTTGGAGTCTTTGTGTCACAGAAAAATTCTAAATTTTGTGGGCTTTTTGCCATCTTTCTAATAATTTGTGATGCATTAAACCACAAGTTTACATAGAATTCAGCAAATGGCCAGCTAAGAGTTTTTTTTGTATGTGAAGTTTTTTTTCCATGTTCCTAATTTGGAATTTTAACCTTAACGTTAATGAAGGATTCATAATCTTTCATTCGTAATTTAAGTCAGTTATTTGGTAAGTTTTAATTTGTGCCTTCTAATTTTTTGTCTCTTATTTTACCTCTTCTTTTTGGAACAGTGAGTTCTAAAGAAGCTAGTGAATAAACACACTATATAAATATAGAAAGCTTATAGAAATATTCTACTAGGAGGATCCCCCCAAATGGAATTTATGTATTCTTACATGTTTAAACTCCAGTAACCTTCAGAGTATTCTCCATTTGATGCAATACACCTATTGAGACATTTTTCTCACTGCTCAAGAACAGTTTTTGAACTCAGTGATTTTGATGCCTTTTAGTACTGTTCGTTTTACCTCTTCCATGTGGATAAAACATTTCCCTTTGATGACTTTTTTAATCTAGGAAAACAGGAAAAGTCTCTCAGGATGAGCCTGGGTGAATAAGGAAGGTGGGGCATGGTGGTCATGCCATTTTTTGGTCAAAAAGTGCCGAACATTCAGCACTGTGTGGGCAGGCATGCTCATAAATCACCCATTATGAAATGAGCAAAGAGTCTTCCAAAAAATTCACTTAGGCTAAATGCAGCCCCTCACAACAACACCTGCTGCCACACTGATACAAGTAGGTTCCTAGAACACCCACTAGCAGGGGAAGCCTGTACTAGTAAGGGCCTACTCTCCAGAAGATAATTCTGGGTTTTGGGGGGTCCCCTGCTATTATGTTGTCTGGTTTTGCTTGTATTTCTTAACCTTGTTGAAGGTTGACTTGAACTCTGAAACTAAGTTCCCCCTGTTTGTAGGTGGTGACAGTGATCCTCCATTAAAGCGTAGCCTTGCACAGAGGCTAGGGAAAAAAGTCGATGCTTCAGAAACTGACAAAACACCAAAGAAAGGTACCTTTGTTGTAATACGCTGTGTGTGTGTGATTCCTTTATACATTTTATTATTCATTCAATGAATATTTGAGTGCTTCCTCTTTTAGATTCTGTGTAAATACCATTGTATAAAATAAACACTATCACAGTCCTCATGAGCTTACAGCATAATGGCAGATAGAAGTACTTGTATGTATTGTGATAAACTCTGAGAGGAAAACTGTATGGTGTTATGGAAGCATAAAGTTTGCAGCCAAATTTTCTTACTCCTTGATTATCAATTATAACTAAAGACTTTCATACTAAAGAACATATTTCAGATAGATATAGGGAGCAAAAATTTTTTGATGCCAGTAAGATTTTAAAAGGTTGTATGCCAGCAAAATTATTTTACTAAATTAAGTTTTTGCTTTTCAAATCTAAAGACACTTTCTCTAAAGCTCTACAGAGTGCTCTAGGGAATTAATTTATGATTTATATAGAGAAGAAAGTTTTAAGACTTAAAGACATTTTTAAAAAAGCATTCACGCCTAATCTGTGATCTTTGAAAAAGGTATTTGACCTATACAAGTCTCTTTTCAACTTTTGGTTTTTGGGTTTTGTTTTGTTTTTTACAGTTCAAGTTTCTAAGTCTCTAAAGGAACGATTAGGTGTGTCAGCTGGTGTGAACAGTGAGGAGGCAGCAGGTAGGTAAACCCCAAGACCAGCTTCTGGTACCTCTTTTCTTGCTATAAAATCTTTACCCTTTCTCCTGTTTTCCTGTTGAATTAGGTTAGAGCTTGTGTTTTCTGGTGTTTTTTTTTTTTGTGGTTTTCTTTAAGTAATTGATTACTCACTGGTATGAATTCTCTTTTTGTTCTTAAAGGTGGCATAATGAGCCCTGGCTGGTGTGGCTCAGTGGATTAAGTGTGGGCCTGTGAACCAAAGGGTCACCAGTTCAGTTCCCAGTCAGGGCACATGCCTGAGTTGTGGGCCAGGTCTCCAGTTGGGGGCATGCAAGAGGCAACCACACATTGGTGTTTCTCTCCCTCTCTCTCTCCTTCCCTTCCCCCTCTCTCCAAAAATAAATGAAACCTTTTTTAAAAAGAAGATGGCATATAATGACTTTTCATTGTTGCATTGAAAATAGGAAATTAGAAACAACCTAAGAATCCAACAAAAAAGGAATTAGATTAAATTAAAGTAGTTATGTAGTAAAATAATTGCTGTCCTGAACAGTTATGTTCTGAACAACAGTGATGGAGGAAACTTCTCTTGTGCTAAATGAAGAAACATTACAAAAGAACACATCACTTTCCCCCCCTTTTTTTTTGCTTTAGGGTAAAGTAAGAATTTCTTATAATAAAAACGTATTCTCAGGAAGAAGTCCACGTGTATGAGATGATTCCAGTTTTAATTTTTTCTTCATACTGTTCCTATCTAATTGTTAATGTTTTTAAACTGCAAGATATAATTACATAAATGTATATATGTGTACAGTTGAAAGAACAATTAAATGGAACGTTCATGTAATCAAACGTTTAGCTTTTTTATATGTTGCTGGATGCAATTTTATTTTCTTTATTATATCTATATTTATTAATGGTATTAGCCTGTCCTTTTCCTTTTTCATTTTATCCTTGTCTGATTTGGATATTAAGATTTTACCAGCATGCTAAAAAGGGAATCTGATGTCAAACATACTTACCTTTTTTGTAAACAACCTTGTTTCCTTTTGTGGAGTTCTTTCTCTCTCTCTCTTTTTTTTAATGTTTATTTGTTTATTTTTAGAGAGAGGGGAAGGGAAGGAGAGAGAGTGGGAGAGAAACATCAATGTGTGGTTGCCTCTCATGTGTCCCCTACTGGGGACCTGGCCCACAACCCAGGCATGTGCCCTAACTGGAAATCGAACCTGCGACGCTTTGCTTTACAGGCCCATGCTCAATCCACTGAGCTACACCAGCCAGGCATTTTCTCTTTTTTTTTTAAAGTATATTTTATTAATTATGCTGTTACAGTTGTTCCTTTTTTTTCTCGCCGTTATTTTATTAATTATGCTGTTACAGTTGTTCCTTTTCTTTTCACCGTTATCCACCTCCACCCAGCACCCTCCCTCCCACCAGCATCCCTCACCCTTAGTTCATGTCCATTGGTTGTACCTATAAGTTCTGTGGATTCTCCTTTTCCTATACTATTCTCAACCTCCCCCTGTCTAGTTTGAACTTACAATTTATGCTTCTTATTCCCTGTACCTTTTCCTCCATTCTCCCCCTCCCTACTGATAACACTCCTTCCATGTGTTCTCCATTTCTGTGATTCTGTTCCTATTCTAATTGTTTGCTTAGTTCTTGGTGATTTTTCTTAGGCTTGGTTGTTGATAGTTGTGAGTTTGTTGTCATTTTACTGTTCATATTTTTTATCTTTTCTTAGATAATCTCTAACATTTTCTGTAATAAGGGCTTGGTGATGATGAACTCCTTTAACTTGACCTTATCTGGGAAGTACTTTATCTGCCCTCCCATTCTAAATGATAGTTTTGCTGGATAGAGTCATCTTGGGTGTAGGTCCTTGCCTTCCATGACTTTGAATATTTCTTTCCAGCCCCTTCTTGCCTGCAAGATTTCTTTTGAGAAATCAGCTGATAGCCTTACGGGAACTCCTTTGTAGGTAACTGTCTCTTCTTGCTGCTTTTAAGATTGTCTCCTTCTCTTTAATCTTGGGTCATATAATTATGATGTTCCTTGGTGTGTTCCTCCTTGGGTCTAACTTCTTTGGGACTCTCTGAGCTTCCTGGACTTCCAGGAAGTCTATTTCCTTTGCCAGATTGGGGAAGTTCTCCTTCATTATTTGTTCAAATAACTTTTCTATTTCTTTCTCTTCTCCTTCTGGCATCCCTATGAGTCACATGTTGAAACATTTAAAGTTGTCCCAGTGGTTCCTAAGCCTCTCTTCATTTTTTTTGAGTTCTTGTTTCTTTTTTCTGTTCCACTTGAATGTTTATTTTTTCTTTCTGGTCCAAATTATTGATTTGAGTTCTGGTTTTCTTTCTTTTTCTGTTGGTTCCCTGTATATTTTTCTTTATTTCACTTTTTATAGCCTTCACTTCTTCCTCTATTTTGCATCTGTACTCAATCATTTCTGTGAGGTTGGCTATCTCCTTGTCACTTAGTCTTTTTCTAGAGCTTTGATCTGTTCTTTCATTTGAGCCATATTTCTTTGTCTCGGTGCACCTGTTACACTGTAAGGGGTGGGTGGAGCCTTAAGTGTACGCCAGGTGGGGCAACCCACATCACTGTGTTGTGGTGCTGAATGTGAGGAAGGGTTTGGAGACGGTACAATGCTCAACTCTTGCCCGCTTTCAGCAGTCACTTCTCCCTCTACCCAGAAGCAAATTAGGCCCTTACGTGCTGATTCCCAGGTGGGTGGTTTTCCATACATTTTATGGACCTCGTGGGTCTCTCCACTTCACTTTGTCCTCTTCACTTCTTTTTGTTTATTTTGGTGTATTTTTAGTGTTTCCTTTTTAATAATTGTAAAGTACCTGGCATGGATTTCCTCTGTGGTTCTAAAGGTCTTTTTTTCCAAGTAGTCCTCTTTTCTGCTGGGAGAACAGACTTAAAATGTCTGCCTAAAGGGAGAGGATACACCGAAAGGCAGTTTGTGTGGTTTGCAGAGTGGAAAGCTGGAAGCCCATACAGTTACCACTATAAGAAAGACTTTCTTTCAGAGTGCAACTAAATTTCTTTCCTTTTCTAGCTTTGCTTTTTAATCCCCTCCACCTTCTTTTTCTGCTTGGCATTTGTGAAAGCCTGGAATTTTTCATGCCCTACTGCTCTCCAGCACAAACATCCTTATCATGTGCTTCTTTCCGCAGCAGCAGATTCTCCTCTCCTTTTTTTAAAAAATTTATTTTATTGATTATGCCATTACAGTTGTCCTGTTCCCCCCCTTCATTCCCCTCCACCCTGCACACCCCCTCCCCCACCATTCCCCCCTTTAGTTTATGTCCATGTGTCTCAAGTTCTTTTTTTTTTTAATTTTTTTATTGATTATGCTGTTACAGTTGTTCTATTTCCCCTTTCATTCCCCTCCACCCTACCCCCATCCCCACCATTACCCCCCTTTAGTTTATGACCATGTGTCTCAAGTCCTTTAGATTCTATATTTCCCATGCTATTCTTGCCCCCCCATCTATTTTCTATCTACTGTCTATGCTACTTATTTTCTGTACCTTCTCCCCCCTTCTCCTCCTCCCACTCCCCTGTTGCTAACCCTCCATGTGATCTTCTTCATTTCTATGTTTCCACTCCTGATCTAGCTGTCCTTTTAGTTTGCTTTTGTTTTAGGTGTGGTTGTTAATAACTGTGAGTTTGTTGTCCTTTCACTGTTCATGTTTCTTTAACTTCTTTTTCTTAGATAAGTCCCTTTAACATTTCATATAATAGGGGCTTGGTAATGATGGACTCCTTGAATTTGATCTTATCTGAGAAGCACATTATCTGTCCTTCCATTCTAAATGAAAGTTTTGCTGGATAGAGCAATCTTGGTTGTAGGTCTTTGGATTTCATGACTTGTAATACCTCTTTCCAGCCCCTTCTTGCCTATAAGGTCTCTTTTGAGAAATCTGCTGACAGTCTGATGGGGACTCCTTTGTAAGTGACTGTTCCCTTAGCTCTTGCTGCTTCTAGGATTCTCTCCTTCATTTTAATTTTGGCTAATGTAATGATGATGTGCCTTGGTGTGTTCCTTCTTGGGTCCAACTTCTTTGGTACTCTGAACTTCCTGGATTTCCTGGAAGTCTATTTCCTTTGCCAGATTGGGGAAATTCTCCTTTATTATTTGTTCAAATAAGTTTTCCACTGGTGGCTGTTCCTTTCCCCCTTCTGGTACCTCTATAATTCAGATGTTGGAGCGTTTAAAGGTGTCCTGGAGGTTCCTAAGACTCTCCTCATTTCTTTGAATTCTTGCTTCTTGACTGTTTTCTGTTTGGCCATTATTTGCTTTCTTCTGGTCCACTCCATTGATTTGAGTCCCAGTTTCCTTTTCATTGCTATTGGTGTCCTGTGCAATTCCATTCATTTCAATTAGTTTCGCCTTCATATATTTGTCTAATTTGTGGCTATAATCAACCAGTTCTGTGAGGATCCTGATGACCAGTGTTTTAAACTGTGCGTCTGAGAGTTTTGCTATTTCTTCATTGCTTAGATCTATGGGCTCTGGGGCTTTGAGATCTTCTTGCACCATTTTTGGTCTGTTCTGGCCCTTTAAGTGTGAGAAGCGGTGCCTTGGACTCCCAGGTCGCTGGGTTGTGACGCTGTATGTGGGGGCATGGTCAGAGCGGGGAAATGGCGACCCCCTCTGCTGTTTCCCTCAGCTGGGGTGAGGAGCAGCGCCTTAGGTGGTTCACCTGGGCCAGGCCACTCAGAGTCAATTGGGTTATCACTCTGTATGTGGAGGTGGGGTCAGAGCAGGGAAATGGCGGCGCTCTCCCTGCTGCTTGCCGAGGGGACCTGCTGGGTCCCGGTCCAATCACCCACTCCCTCGCCTGTCCACCCGCGCACAAATGCACGACCACAGTCAACTCGCAGCCCCGCTCCCCCGCTGTCTCCTCCGAGGTCGCTCGCCTGGTCGCTCGCTCGGTCGCTCAGTAGGTCCAACGCTGCGCCTGGATTCCGTGCGCCTAAGTCTGTCTGACCGAGTCCTCCTGTGCAACCCCGCTTCACCAGCCACTGGTTTCGCCCCTTACCGGTCAGGCTGAAGAATTTGTTGTTAACGGACTTCCCAAAAGTTCAATTTTCCGTGTTCTGGCTGTGTTTTCTGTTGCTAATATTTAGTTGTCTCTAAACTTGGTTGTGTGAGAAGGTACGGCACATCCACCTATGCCTCCATCCTGGCAGAAGTCTGTCTCAAGTTCTTTAGATTCTATATTTCCCATAGTATTCTTGCCCTCCCCTGTCTGTCTTCTACCTACCATCTATGCTACTCATTCTCTGTACCTTCTCCCCCCTTCTCCTCCTCCCACTCCCCTGTTGCTAACCCTCCATGTGATCTTCTTCATTTCTATGGTTCCACTCCTGATCTAGCTGTCCTCTTAGTTTGCTTTTGTTTTAGGTGTGGTTGTTAATAACTGTGAGTTAGCTGTCCTTTCACTGTTCATCTTTTTTATCTTTTTCTTAGGTAAGTCCCTTTAACATTTCATATAATAAGGGCTTGGTGATGATGAACTCCTTGAATTTGACCTTATCTGAGAAGCACATTATCTGCCCTTCCATTCTAAATGAAAGCTTTGCTGGATAGAGCAATCTTGGATGTAGGTCCTTGCCTTTCATGACTTGGAATACTTCTTCCAGTCCCTTCTTGCCTATAAGGTCTCTTTTGAGAAATCAGCTGGCTGTCAGATGGGAACTCCTTTGTTGGTGACTATCTCCTTATCTCTTGCTGCTCCTAGGATTCTCTCCTTCATTTTAATCTTGGCTAATGTAATGATGATGTGCCTTGGTGTGTTCCTTCTTGGGTCCAACTTCTTGGGGACTCTCTGAGCTTCCTGGATTTCTTGGTAGTCTATTTCCTTTGCCAGATTGGGGAAGTTCTGCTTTATTATTTGTTCAAATAAGGTTTCCACTGATGGCTGTGCCTTTCCCCCTTCTGGTACCCTTATAATTCGAATGTTGGAACATTTAAAGATGTCCTGGAGGTTTCTAAGCCTCTCCTCATTTTTTTGAATTCTTGTTTCTTCATATTTTTCTGTTGGGTCATTTTTTTTCTTCCTTTTAGTCCACTCCCTTGATTTGAGTCCCAGTTTTCTTTCCATCACTATTGGTTTCCTGTGCATTTCCCTTCATTTCAATTAGTTTAGCCTTCATATGTTCCTCTAATTTGTGACTAAAATCAATCAGTTCTGTGAGCATCCTGATCACCAGTGTTTTGAACTATGCATCTGATAAGTTGGCTATTTCTTGGTTGCTTAGAGTAATTGGCTCTGGGTCTTTGAGTTTTTCTTGAGCCATAATATTTTGGTGTGTTCACACCTATTACGTATTGAGGGGCAGAGCCCTAGGTGTTCACTAGGGTGGGACAACTCAGTCGCTGGTTCGTGATGCTGTGTGTGGGGGTGGGGTCAGAGAGGGGCTAGGGTGGTCCCCTCTGCTGCTTTCTGCCTCTGGGTCCTGCACGTTTTGTCTCACTGCTCGCTCCTTTGCCTGGTTTATCAATCTGGTTGAACAGTTAGTTGTTGGCGGACTTCTGTATAGTTCAATTTTCTGTGTTTTGGCTGCGTTTTTGTTACTAGAACTTTGTTGTTTCTAAACAACTTGGTTGTGCAAGGAGGCACAGTGTTTCCACCTATGCCTCCATCTGCGATTCTCCTCTTCTTAAGGACCAGGTTGTGACTGGACCAGCTGATCTGTATGGGATATCCTCAAATTTCTACCCACTGTTGTTTTTCATACTAGTGTGGTCAGGGGTTTTATGGCTCTGCTGGGCAGAACTTCTCCTACAGTGTGTTCTTTTTCTGTGTTTCTGTAAATTTAGACATCTGCTTTCTGTCTCAGAAATTGCTCAAGATTTAGGCTCTGCCAGTGGTATCCTTGGTTTCCATTGCTATTGTGGATTTATTTTACTTTTAATGTCTTCATTATTTTGATGGAATTTTGGTGGAAGGGGGAACAGGGGCGCCATGTCACCATTCATAGTACTTTCTTGGAGTTGTTATTTTGGTATTAGTCTACCATTTTGAAATGGAAGAGTTTTTATTTTAAAAACCTAAGGAAATAAGTCAGTAAGTGTTTGAGTACTTCTAGGTAACAGGTACTGTACTAAAATATTGCAGATAAGTAAATACAGTTACTGTTCTAGTGAAGTATCTAGTGTGATAGGAAATACAGTCATTTATGGTACTGTGTGATCAGTGAAGCAAACTAGATTTATAAGTTGCCAGGTTCTTAGATGAACTCAGTTAAAACTAAGTAGGAAGCAAGAGAAATGAGACCAATAGGGACTACTCCGTCTAGGAGCAAGAGTATATTCAAAGGTTCAGAACATGTGTTTAAGGTTGTAAAAAGTCTATTTTTTGGTTTTGATCTTTCATGTATTCAGAGACTTAATATGTGTTTGTAATATCCAAATTATTTGTTTTTTTCCCACATCACTTCATTATTTCTTTATTTAATCCTTTAGTAAGGAAGACATGCATCTGTCAAGTGTGAAATTTGCTCTTCAGTTTAAACAGATGAATGATTAGTGTATCCCTAAAAGTAGCTCTTCAGTGGCATTTCAGTCTCTGAGCCTTTTCTATTTTTCTTCTGTCTTGTCACCTGTTTTACTTCTTTTAAGTATCACTTAAATATTACTTTCTGTGAAAAGCTTCCCTTAACCAAGTTCTAAACAGAAGTTGGTGTGTTCTTGCTTGCTACATGCTCCTTTATAGCATTATATTTCCTTTATCAATGCTGTCATCATTACAATACTTTGTTGTTGCTTAATTTTTGCTCAGATAGACAATAAACTAAGTGGGGCCAGAGATTGTATTTTGCTTACCATTATATTGCAGGCAGGGTCTAGCACACGTTTATACTTGTGAGTAAATGGAAGAGTAAATTTATTGCTATTTTTATTGGTGAGATTTATGACAGGTTTCTCCAAGTAGTAAATGGCTTTCAGGTTCCTTAAGACTGGGCTTCTGATTAGAAATCCAAATGAGTTAATTTTTGCCTCTGAGAGTTTCTGAGGGCCATACCTAAGACATTCAGTATTATAAATTTGAGATGGAAACTGATGATCATTTTAAATGCCTACCTAAATGGTACCACTCTGTTGGACTCTCTGATCCAAGAATAGAGAGACTATATGTCATTAAGAGATGAACATCAAGTATAGTGACTTGTTTTTCCTCCTTGAAAACAGAGAGAGTTACTAAAGTTGGTGAGATCCACGTGAAAACATTAGAAGAAATTCTCCTTGAAAGAGCCAGTCAAAAACGTGGAGAATTGCATACTAAACTCAAGACAGAAGGACCTTCAAAAGTTGATGATTCTACTTCAGGAGCAAGAAGCTCTTCCACTATCCGCATCAAAACCTTCTCTGAGGTCCTGGCTGAAAAGAAGCATCGGCAGCAGGAAGAAGAGAGACAAAAAAGCAAAAAGGATCTAACCTGCATCAAGTTAAAGACTGATAATGAAATTAAAAAAACAGTGGTTTTGCCACAGATAGTTGCCAACAAAGGACAATCAGAGGAGCCTGCAGGTAGAACAAAGTCTGTGCAGGAGGTACACATCAAGACACTGGAAGAAATTAAACTAGAGAAGGCACTGAGGGTGCAGCAGAGCTCCGAGAGCAGCACCCTGGGAGCCAGCTCCCAGTCTCAGCCTGAGGCCACCCCAGGGGCTAGGCGGCTTCTCCGAATCACCAAAAAATCAGGTAACAAGGGAGAGAGCATGGTCTATAGTGGCACTTCCCTAAATATTTCAGAGGGCCATGTTCCACGGGATATTCATAGGAGTTCTGTGAAGTTTTCTTTTCTCAGATAACCTGTGAAAATCACTGGATTAAATGAAGTTAAGGTGTTTCTGTACAGCAGCACTATATAGATGTTTGCTATTTTAATGTACATTTTGAAACTTCAGGAGGACCAGTGGGCTTTATCTACATTTTTATTTTGTCCTACCTTAGCATAACTTTTATTAAGAAAAGTTTTAACTTGGTCTATCAGAAAATTGTAGTCTAAATGAAATAACTAATAATTTGTTTCATGTGAATATAGTTACAAAAGAAGAAAAGAAACTTCAAGAAGAAAGTGACATTGCGTTTCAGAGCAGTGTAACTAGAACAGAGGCTAAAGAGGTAAGTTTATTTAAAATCATTTTGTAGTTTGTTCATGGGAAGTGAAGGCTAGATGAATGGTAAAATGTGCTTTTTTACTTCTAGCTTATAATAAATTTCTTTGTAACTAACACCTTACTGATACATTATATAAACAATCTTTCACTACACTTATAATTTTCTGTTGGGGGGTTTCTGATGGGAGTTTTTTGTACTTCTGTATATATCATCATTTTTATTTGCCCTTTTAAAATTATTTTAATTGATCATTAATATTTTTTAAATGAAGCTTTTTTTCCTGGCTTTGAGAGCAATGCCAATTCATTGTACAAAACTTGAGAATATTTATTTTTAAAAGATTGAGAAACCCTATAGTTCAATCTACATGTAACCATCATTAATTTTTTTAGTGGATTTCCTTCAAGCCTTTTGTTTATACATCCATGTGTATGAACTTTTTAATGTTTGACTCGTGTTCAGGATGTAATTGAGAACTTTACAGTGTACCGTCTTGCGGCCTGCTTTAACTTTACCATATTAATAGTTCTTCAGAATGTTTGTCTTGGCCACACAGTGTTGTACAAATGCAGTCTGCTTCTGGGCTTTTAGATTTTGTTTTACCTACTAAGATAGTGAACATCCTTGTTCAATAAATCATTGTGCAAGACTTTATTAGACTTAGGGTCATGATTGTGATAAGAAATCTGTGTTTTTATTGTCCCACACATCTATAATCTTTCATCTTTAGATTGGTATTGTTTATTTAAAATCAAGGAGCAAAAGTGCTTGTGTTCTGGATAATTTGAGGCACTATTTGACTTAGATGTTTGCCTTGTAACTTATAAATAGTAATTACCATGTAGGTACTAGATTTTAATTCTGTCGTTTAAATTTATCCATAGGCTTCAACTGAGACAACAGGAATTGGCATCACTAAAATTCAAGTCAAGAAATGTGAGACCATGAGAGAAAAGCACATACAGAAACAACCAGAGAGGGGAAACTCACAGAAGGAAAAATCAGTTTTGACATCCCTTAGGAGAGATGTAGACTCTTGTAACACCCAGATAGCAGAGGAGCCAGTGCTCACTACAGTGCCAGGCGTCACACGCTGCCTAACAAAGCGGCCTCCCACAAAGTCATCCCAGAAGGCAGAGGTAGAAACCTCAGGGATTGGCGACTCAGTATTAAATGTGAAATGTGCAGCACAGACCTTGGAAAAAAGGGGTAAAGGTGAGTTTTTTTTTTTTTCTAGTGTGTCTTACTTGAGGATCTCAAAATTATCAGGTTGGAGTAATTCCCTGGCAACAATTGGGTTGAATTTCATTTATCTTGTATCTTGGTCGCACAAGTGGATGGTAATAATAGTTCTTATAATTCTATTTAAAAAGCCAAAACTAGATGAGTTTTTTTTTTCTTGGCTATTTAAAAATCTTTGTCAAAAACTTTCTGTCTTGCATCTTTCCTCTGGTTTTGAAAGACAGAAAAGGAATAGAAGCAGTAGTGGATTCAAGAGACATTAAAAGAATCATTTGAGTATATGTATACATTGTGGCAATGTGCCATGCAGATTGCTTATGGATCATTTTCAGTCTGGGTTTTTTGTTTTGTTTTTAATTACTTGTATATCTAGTACTGTGAAGGAATTTTATATTCTGAGTTATTCTCCCTGTAAAAGAGAGGATTTTTTTTTTTAGCTAAAGAAAATAATCAAATATTTTCTTTCCCTTATAGCTAAACCCAAAGTGAATGTGAAGCCATCTGTGGTTAAAGTTGTCTCTTCCCCCAAATTTGCCCCCAAACGCAAGGCAGCGGAGATGCACTCTGCTGTCATTGCAGCTGTGAAGCCACTCAGTTCCAGCAGTGACCGGCAGGAAAGCCCAGCCAAGAAAGCGGCTGTGGTAAGAAGTAGCTCTTAACTCTCAGTGATGCTTTCATCTCTGGTAGGAAAGCAGGGAAGATTTAACTCTGTTAGCTCTCTGTTTGTATCTGTATGTGATAACTTCCTGCCATTTCCTAAGCCTTTTAGTTGTTTAGGTTGTATTTTACGTTTATAGACATTTGTGGAGTGGTTGGTGCTAATTTTTAGGTGCTTAAAATTGCTTATTTGCACACTCACCTTTGGGACTATTTATTCATAGATTCCCAGGTTTAAGGAATGATAGCCATGATTCTAAGAAGGTGGCAAAAGAAAGTGAATATGCTCAAATTAAAAAGCCTGACTCTCCCACTGAATTACCCTGCTCTCTTATTTTTGTAGGCTGTTGTCCCACTCCTCTCTGAGGACAAATCAGTCACTATTCCTGAGACAGAGAAACCTAGAGACAGGTAATACCTTGCAATTCTTTTAAATCAAACTTTAGGCTACTGTTACTGTTTATGCTTTCCAAGAATAACATGGCTAAGTAATTCTAAATATTTACACATCTAAATAAATCTGCTGAACTTCAAATTAATTGGAAGAAAACATGATGTTCGGGGTTGCTGCTCTTTTTAGAGCAGCATTGTTTATATTTTGCCTATATTATAAAGTGTTTTGAACACCTATATGGATTCTGCTTTAAAAGGAGGAAATGCTGTGTCCCAAATTAGTAAGACAGTACCTTTTGTGTGTCCTCAGAAACACCTTTGCTGACACTGTGTGTCCCTGAGGCTAAGTAGTCCAGCCAGCCATTGACAAAGAGTAGATTTTAATATTTCTGGGTTTTTTTTTTCTCGACAGTCTTGTTCTGTCTCCAGTCCAGTCCTCTTCAGATCCCTCTCCACCAGAAGTATCTGGCCCTTCCTCATCCCAAATGGCCACAAAAACTCGCCGACTCAGCTCTGCATCAACAGGAAAGCCCCCACTCTCTATGGAGGATGATTTTGAGAAACTAATATGGGAGATTTCAGGAGGCAAATTAGAAGCTGAGATCGACCTGGATCCTGGGAAGGATGAAGATGATCTTTTGCTTGAGCTGTCAGAAATGATTGATAGCTGAAGGTGGTAATAGAACATTTAAAACAAAAAAAAAAGAAAGAAAAACTCACCAAAAAACTGGACTTAGTTCCATCTATTATACATTTACCCAAGATGATCATTTGTTTAGTCTAGAATTTGCCCCAAACCAGAAGTATACCTCTGAATTTACCTGTATGTGTACTAGATTTGTTGGAGTCGGGATTTTAAAGTTCATTGATAATCATTTTGTCCATTTGATGCCATTGTTTAGCATCTTCAAGAAAAAATTCTGTCTCACCCCTCTCTCCACAAAAAACTGAGAGGGAGATCCAAGTGAAAGAGTACCAGAGAACTTTGTGACTCCTTGAGGTGTTTGTCAGTTTTGGCTTTCTCCCCCTTTGTTGTATTCATTTCTGTATTGTCTTAATGTACTTAATGTTACCTGAGTTTGGAGAGGATGAAGACAGCTGCTACCATAAGGACCAAATTTCACACTACCACTAAACAACAACAAAAAAATTCACTCAGTCTATTAAATTGTATGTCTTTTTAGAAGTATTTGGAGATCCATCTAAGCTTTAGAGCTGAGCAGCTCAAGAAGCCTGTAATCTGGGCATGTCTTTTTGGACCTGATTTTTACGTTTCTTCTGCTGTGTAAGCCTCTGAAGATTAATAGCTAATTTATTATTACTGTAACTTTTTAAGGCTTTAAAGTGCCTCAGGGGTCCTCTGAAACTAATTTTCTATTTCTGGGATTCCTGGATTTTTAATAAGAGATGGTGACATAATGATTAAATGAATTCTTTTTTTAGTATGAAATTTGTTCCTTCTCTAGTACTTGCCTCCTACTAGCGTTGAATTATCACAGGAATAAAAATTGGTTAATTTTATATTTCTAACTCTTCCAGCAAATTCCTTTTACCCAGTATTTATTTGGTGTCCTTTAATCATCTGAGGGGAAAAAAAACTCATTCAATCTGCCAATATTTATGTATGGATTGTAGCAGTACAATGAATTGTACTATAGAATGGATTTTTTGAGATGTTCTGGGGGTGTATTGTATACCATCCAGTTTTCTTCATTTCTGAATTGAATTTTCTTTTTTCTGATGTTGGTCTCCTGCATATCACCTCAAGGTGTAGACTATGAAGGAACAAGTATGATGGGGCTAATAGTCTTAAAAGGAGACATTATACATAATTGGAAGGAAGAGGAAAGAAGGATTTGTCCATTTTGATATTTTGCTCATGGTGGCCAGTTTTGTTTCTCATAGGGAAATCTGACCCACCTGTCATGTTGGCTCCTAAGGAACTGCTGTTGTAAGCAGCTCATCAAGAGTTGAACTTCATGTAGTCTTGTTGGGAATATGGAAAAGGAAGAAAGCCACAGGACTGCCCATTCAGTCTTGGGAAGATTTGGATGATCCTGCACAAGCAAAAGTGACTTGAAATTTATGTATAGACACACCTCTCTTCCAGTACATCTTCAGCTGACTGAGTGTTGTATAGTAACCCTTCTCCAGAACAGGGGTGGAATGTTTGGTTTCACCACAGATTTTGTACATGTTTCATTTCTGGAATCAGCTCATAGATTCCAGGTCCCTTTTGTATATAACTTCTTTATTCTTTTGCTTTTTAAAAAATAATTTTGTTTCATATTTAAAGCTCTTGTATTAGTCAGTGATTCATGTTCAGCATTATTTGAACCATTTGCTATTCATTACACAAAGAAATATTTACTTGTGTTTTAAATAAAACTGGTATAGGAGAGTCTTGACGTGAGTTAAGTGGTGGTACATCACTTCAGCCTAGGATCTGCCACAATGGAGGCTTCATTCAGAATGTTGTTGGCCTTTTGTGTAAGTGCTTCAATTTTATAGGTATTATTTGGTTTAGAAACCTTATACAAGAACTTATTGCCAGACTAATTCACAAGTATGCTCAGTTTTAGCCACATATGCTTTAGGTAAGAGTGAAGGTTAAATGCGAGGATTCTTTTCTGGCACTGATACTTAGCCATTATCGTAACTCAAGGCCATTAAATTTTTTAAAGGAGAGAGGGTTTTGTGTGATCATAGATAGCTTCAACAATTTAGAATTTTCAAGCATGAAGGCATATAAAATTTTTAATTCAGGAAAATCCAGATTTTTTCAGTAGCATGGCCCATATTTTGTTAGGGCCACATATAAATTTGTTAGACACCAAAGAACAGATTTTTTCCCCAAATAGTAGTCCCAATAAGTTGAATCAACTTTTCACAAAAAGCAAAACAGATTGTGTGTTCATTTTTGAGTGATGGTTTTCAATTTTAAAAGTAAGAAAGGGGCTCAAAGACTACAGAATTTGGCCATAGCCCAAAATTTCAAAGTAGTTAGCAGTCCATATATTTGTCTCACAATAAATTATTTCTAAAATTGTGATCTTAACCTCAGATTCCAGTGGGTCTTTTCTCATATGGTCAAAACAGTTTATTTTTGTCTTGACCAATCTTTGAAATCAGGTAAGACCAATGTTTAATAATTATAGTTGCGGAAATAAAGCTTATTCTATGTTGGTCTAAGTTTTACGATCCTTTTTTAAAATTGTGCCTTCAGTTTGCTGGAATATTTCTGAAAGTCTTAAAAATATTTGCTTTGAATTTTACCAGTTTAGCAACAGGAACTGTGGTTGCCAGTTGCTGTTTAATAAGTAACAGTTTAAAAGTAACATGTGTGGTGAGTACTTAGTATGTTCCTCATATTTTACATAATCATTTTGATGCTGAATCTTACACTGCATTGAAGATCACTGCTTTTTATTATCACTGTAGTGTCAGAGTGTTCAGATGGAATGAAATACCAGCATATTCTTACGTTCAGTTGGGTTTGTTGAACCTTTCCAGAGCTCTTCATTCATCTTTGGAACTTGCTTGATAAATCTATACAAGTTGCCACAGCCAACACATCAGACTGCATTAGTAATTTATTCAAACTCCACTCTTTGAATTTGGAAATTGTCAGTTAAGGACAATTATGAGCACAGGGGAATACTTGATCATTTTCTTAGCATTGTAAAATAAAAGGGTCAAAAAGTGAGCAATGACGTTAAGGAGAGCTGACAGGAGTTTATATTTTTTAAAAAGTCAAGATTTACTGAGTGGGCCTATTTAAAGTATTTAGATTTGGTTGAGTTTAACTGCTGTGGTGTCACTGAGTCTTAGCCTATGGTGATGGGCAAAAACCTGCATTAAAATGGGTTTTTTGGTCTGCAGACTGATACGTTCTCAAGGAGTAAAGCAAAACGAGTTAAGAGTGAGGGTAAACAGCCAGGATTCAGACTGAAGAAGGCAGAAGTGACAATGCTGAAGTAAAAGACTCCTGTTTGTTGAATAAGTAAATGAGAGAAATTGGGAATTAGGTGAAGAAAACTGGAAAGAAGCAGAGGAAGAGAAGGAGAAGCAAAATGGAAGAAACCATTACCTAATAGATATGTATGATTAGTGAGGTCATATATTTGGTTAGCACAAGGAGAATGGTAAAGTTGAGAAAAACTACTATGAGGAAATGTGAAAGAATCCCTGCATAACTGCCACAAAGTAGTTTGCACCGCTATTCCTTGGAGAGTCTCAGAACATCAACACTACTGGCCACTGCAGGGCGGGGTGGCGGGGCAGGGGGTAGATGAGCATAGGGCAAACCTTTGCTCCCAAAATACTTCGGAAATACTTCTAAAACAAAATTAACAAGCCCTGGCTGGTGTAGCTCAGTGGATTGAGCGCATGCCTGCGAACCAGAGGATCGCGGTTCGATTCCCAGTCAGGGCACGTACCTAGGTTGCAGGCCAGTTCCCTGCAGGCTATTTCCCAGCAGGGGAAGCACTAGAGGCAACCACACAATGATGTTTCTCTCCCTCTCTCCTTCTGCTCTAAAGATAAATAAAATCTAAAAAATAAAAAAAGTTTAAAAAAAAACCCTAACGAGTGCAGTAGGTGCAAGTATTAAGTGGATGATGCTATAGATTAGAAGGATGAGTGAGAGATTGAACTGGAGTTTTGCATGGCTTTGTAAAGAAGATTCGAGCTACAAACAAGGCCAAACTGAGCAGTTAGAATTTGTTTGTTCTTAGTGACCTCTGGCCGTCCCATTGGTACTCTCAGAGTCTGCCTTGTGTCATTCTCATTTTGCTGTCAGGTATTGGCTAAGGCATGAATTGGTTTTTAAAAATGTTTTTATTGATTATGCCATTACAGTTATCCCCCCCTTCATTCCCCTCCACCCTGCACACCCACTCCCCCCATTTCTCCCCTTTAGTGCATGTCCATGTGTCACAAGTTCTTAAGATTCTATATTTCCCATACTATTCTTGTCCTCCCCCCTATTTTCTACCTGTCATCCATGCTACTTATTCTCTGTACCTTCTCCCCCCTTCTCCTCTTACTCCCCTATTGCTAACCCTCCATGTGATCTCCATTTCTGTGGTTCCACTCCTGATCTAGCTGTCCTCTTAGTTTGCTTTTGTTTTAGGTGTGGTTGTTACTAACTGTGAGTTTGCTGTCCTTTCACTGTTCATATTTTTTTATCTTTTTTCTAGATAAGTCCTTTTAACATTTCATATAATAAGGGCTTGGTGATGATGAACTCCTTGAACTTGACCTTATCTGAGAAGCACTTTATCTGTCCTTCCATCCTAAATGAAAGCTTTGCTGTATAGGTCAATCTTGGGTGTATGTCCTTGCATTTCATGACTTGGAATACTTCCTTCCAGCCTCTTCTTGCCTATAAGGTCTCTTTTGAGAAATCAGCTGACAGTCAGATGGGAACTCCTTTGTAGGTAACTGTTCCCTTATCTCTTGCTGCTTCTAGGATTGTCTCCTTCATTTTAATCTTGGCTAATGTAATGATGATGTGCCTTGGTGTGTTCCTTCTTGGGTCCAACTTCTTTGGGACTCTGAGCTTCCTGGATTTCTTGGAAGTCAATTTTGTTTGCCACATTGGGGAAGTTCTTCTTTATTATTTGTTCAAATAAGTTTTCCACTTGTTGCTGTTCCTCTTCCCCTTCTGGTACTCCTATTGTTACAGAAAACAACTCAGCCACTTTCAGGTGTACAGAGTGGAACTTTATTTACGCGAATGGACCCAGAGGAGGCAGTCTCCAAATTCTGGGCCCCGAGCTTGGGCAGGGGCTTGTTTATGTAGTGTGGCATGCAGAAGCAATTTTACTAAGCCTATGTGGCAGAAGCAGGCTTACAGAAGCAAGAAAGCAGGGCTGCTGATAGGGTCATACAATGTTCTTTTGTTCTTCTGTTACTTAGTTGCTCACCCTTCCTTATCTTAGTGGCTCAGCAAAGGGACCGTGTCCTTCTGACTTGTCTGAGCTTGTCTAGGCAGGTTTCCTGCTACATCTTCCCCCTTTCGATGCTTGACAGTACCGTTAACTGGTCTAGCATCACTACAAAGCTGGGCTATATATCTTCAGGTATCTTCTGATAATGATACCACTGGAGGGACAGGATCTTGGCAGTTGTTCTGCGAGTTACTTTAGCTTCTAGATTCTGGACTATGTCTAGTCCATAGTATACAGGGGCCAAAGCTTAAACCTAAGAAAAGTATGATTAGTGGCCCAAGGAAGGGTAGTATCTACTGAGCCAGGCCTAGGGATTTAGTCCCTAATACCTCTAATTCTAACTTTCTGTTTCTTTGATGAGGCAGTTTATATTCTCTCTGATTTCTTTAACTTTCTTTGTTACGATCCCTGACTGATTTACATAGTAGCAACATTTCTCTCCTAGGAACGTACAGGTCCCCCCTTTCCCTGGATTCAGAGCATTAATAAGGTTTCTTTCCTCATCATTTTTCTCCTCCTATGATTTACTATTAGGGGTTCTGAGACGTAGGTGTACAAGGCATGCTA